AACGCTATTTTCAAGTTTTGAACAACTCGACTTTCAAGATCTACACATCTACATGTCCGATGTTTCCTCAACGTTATATTTTAAGATCTGCGCAAGAACTCAGCTAACAGATGTTTCCGCATATGAAAACTATCTTCAAGTTTTGTACACCGAAAAACTTTTCAGGTATATAGAACATTAACTTGCCAAATGCAGGCTTTTCGCGACACACCCTGGAAATGAGAATATTCTACATTTCCGTCACAATTAAAATATAATTTTAGTGTTCTCATAATAACTTTACTGTAAATATGAAAGACCTAATCAAGATTTGAAATTTGCCCCGAATCAAAATATGTCGACCTACTATTTTGTTTTCTATAAAAATTATTTAATATCAATTTTGCAATTTACACCAGACAAATGCTTGATAATCTTCAATTAAATCCATCATCTGCGTTAAAGACAGTGTTTCCAATGAGAAAATATTGTGCTGCTATACCAGAAGTGGCCAGCCAGAGGTATGTGGCACAAGTTTTGTTTGAAATTTTGGCACATGCGTGAAATATTAAAAAAATTCATACGGTAAATAATATTGTTTAATTCTTAATGTGTTTTAATTTGACTGCTTTACCCTCCCCTTCCCCATTCCTATGGACTTAGTTTAAAGCGATACTTAAAATTCAGAACCTAAAATTGGCTAAACTACTTTGAAAAATAATACACTGTATTTTGTTGTACGTGTACGAAAAATACAAGTTGTAGACGTTATCTCCTATCTAATGAAGAACTCCCGTGTTTTCAAAATTACAAAATTAGTTCCGATATGGTACCGGTGACCCCATTTTTGACCACCTGGCCCATGGATTAATTACCATATTAATTGCACGTCTCGATAACCAATATTCCAGGTCACGTGCTATCGTTAAGTTATCAGTATCACCATTCGTGTTCAGGACAGTGCCCTTGGTTACACATTATTTCCTAACAACGGATCAAGTTTTTAGATTAGACAACGCGTCTTGACAAACTTTCCATAAATCCTCCACGATATCAATGCTCCAGATAAGATGCGCATCTGTGTAAATACATATTCTTGTACATAAAAATACATTAGAAATTAAAATTATGCGTAGTATTCACCTGTTCGTACATTATTCACGTACTGGCAGAAACCTGCAAAACATTTGCAGTCAAATTAGTATCTTTATTGCAACAGTACTTTTTAAATACAGGATTTCTAGAATAATACAAAATAATTCTAATTGCATACACCGAAATCTATAAGTTCATTTGTCTTGGGCCTAACATTAGTTAAGCCTTTATTAAGTACGACATATATTTGATAGACAGATAAATTAACACTATAGCTTGTGGACGTTTTTTGCTTTAGTATACTTAGGACTAAACTTTACCATATTTAATACTATCAATAACTAAAGTTTTAATGTTATTTTACGACCTAACATTAGACTTTTTAAAAACTTTTATAAGCTTTTAATATGTTGTTGTACAAAATGTCTACTAGCCCACTGGGGTACGAATATTGTTGTAAGGCTGCAGGATATTGCAAAGTCAGAGAGCTTTCAGCTAATGATAAAACCGTAATTTTTATATGAAGTGTTCCATATTAGAGACAGGATTACAATCCTTTGGATCCGTATGTGAAAGCTACATGGGAAATAACCTGCATGTGAAGAATGGAAGCTTCGTACATAAATTAAAGGGTCTGTCGCCGATCTTTCTCGAACTCGCAGACTACTTATAAAGCGATTAATATAATTCGGGGTTAGTGTTGAACTGAAAAATATGCCTAATTTTATTTAAAGATACAAAAAAAAAACGCTTACTTGATCTATTTTTTATCGTCAACATGAAATTGTTTGTTTTGAATTTTCGCGCAAAGCTACACGAGGGCTATCTGCGCTAGCCGTCCCTAATTTAGCAGTGTAAGACTAGAGGGAAGGCAGCTAGTCATCACCACCCACCGCCAACTCTTGGGCTATTCTTTTACCAACGAATAATGGGTCTGACCGTCACATATAACGCCCCCACAGCTGAAAGGGCGAGCATATTTGGTGTGACGGGGATTCGACCCCGCGTCCCTATTGCGAGTCGAGCGCCCTAACCACCTGGCCATGCCGGGCCCAAACATGAAATTAATTAATTAATATACCCAGTCTTCAACAGCTCTTAAAAAACAACAAAGGCATTCATAGTCATGACTTAAGAATTATTTTTGATTTATATATAACACTTTAAAAAAAGCAATTGGTTAAATTCAATAAATTATTTAAGGGTAAAATTTTGGAATGCAATAAATACCTAATACTAAAATAAAATGAAGTCATTGAAAAATTAAGTTGTATTACAGAAACTTGATTAAATGTATGATTTAGTTGGTTATTTTTATATCAAATTAAAAAGTATAATTATGATACTATTATTAGTGTTATGCTATCATATTTGCGTATATTTATTTAGATGTTTCTTTTTACAATTAATAATACTTCGTATAAGCATCGTCTTGTTTCTGCTTTTCATGAACTAAACTACTAGAAATCATTAAATGTTTACAACGTATCTAGTACGTGTATAAAATTGAATTGAAACAGAACCTGAATAATCTTATTTTTTATTCTTTGTCACGCACCGTGCTTAAAATAATATCTAACACCTGAAAATTCTCCAAGCCAGTATTTTTTAATTACAACAAAAACAACATATCAATTAATATTTAACGCCCGGCTTACCTTTAGGGCGTAAAACATGTTTCGCAGGGAAAATGTAGGTCAACTTTACATGTATAATACTAAAATACATACAAATTGCTCAGAAAAAGCTGCCTTGGCCTAGGATTGTTTGGTACTGCTGAATTGAACCGACTGTAGTCCAGTGAGTTAACGGTCTAAATATGTACCTGCTGGTCTATATTTCGCGTCCTGTTAACGCAAAGAAAAAAAAGAAAAGAAAAAATCGTGCTGGCATATTGGGGTCGTTCGTGCGTTATAAGGATGGTAGTAAAATACCACTGTTCGGTCAGACAAGAGTAGTGGCCCAAAAGTGAATGCTATTACCTTTCCTCTAATTTAAGATTATGGACCGTTTGTGTAAAAAACATAACACACTCACAAAGAGAACCTTGAAATGTTTTGCGCGAATATCCAAAAACGACAACAACAAACAAACAAACTTCTATGTCATAATGGAAATAACTTTTAACTGCATCCTTCCATAGCCAGTATAGGATGTATCTTTTGTAAGGTATACTATTCGGGTAATGTTTATAAATTTCCATTGTCAGCACACACTAATCGCTTACTCAGAGGTTACGTAAGACAACGCTAAAGGCTATTGCATAGATGCTTGTACCAGTTTGATCCTGTGTTTGTATCTACTCCCTGGGCTGGTCAAGCCAATGTTAAAGGGGATTCATAGGTGCTTGTGCAAGATTATATGAATTGAAGTTCTCTGTTTCGGAGAAGTTACTTGGAATAGCTGTTGAAATAGGTAATCTGTGGAATACGTGATACCACACTAGGATACCTTTGTCTGACTTGAAATTGTGGTATAACATTATTCTTGCAGTCCTTGACCTATGAAAACGTACCTTGAAAGCCTTTAGCCCACCGCTACGTTGAAGTTTCAACAGAAAGTAACAAGCTGTCCAGTAAGTGAAATACGTAATATCCTTTTTTGTGAATAAAGATTTTTGTACTTTTTCACTTGTTTTGCCTTTGCTAACTGTGTTCGATTTATCCTGAACACACTGGCTGAACCTATGTTTTTGAGGAAACTGTTGGCTATCTGTTGGAAAGTGGTGTACCTGCACACTACACCTCAAATTAATACAAAATAACCAAGTAACCCACTATAACAACTTTATAAGTAGTACCACTGTCACTTCCTTGATCCCTGATATAATTATTCATAGATTAACAAAGTAAATAACTTTACAAGTGGCACTACTGTCACTTCTTTGATCCCTAATATAATTATTCTTAGAGTAACAAAGTAAATAAACAACACACAATAAAAGGCTTTCTTCTTGTTTTATGACAAAGTTATTAAAGTTATTTCCATTATCCCTATCATCGTCAAGCAGCACCAACCGCCAGTTCTTAGATTACTCTTTCACCATGAATAGTGGAATTGACTGTTACATTATAACATCTCTACGGCTGAAAGGACGACCATGCTCGATGTCAGGTTTCGCTTCAGCGACCCACAGTTTGCTCTAACTATTACACCATGCAAAGCGGCTTGTTTATAAACATCCTGTTGTGAATAACTTTTTAAATGCGGAAAAACAGACTGAGACTAGTAATCCAATACAATAAAGATTTGTGGAAAAACTGACTAATCAATACTACCGAAACAATCTATATCCATTATAAAGTTGTCAAAAAGATACAAAATGATTTATTTTTGTTTTTAAACTTACCTAAGGCAGCAAGGGTACTTATAAAGGTCATAGTGACACTAAGATTGAGATTTCCTTTAAGCAGGACAGTCCACATGTTACTAGCTCCACCTCCTGGGCTACACCCAAACACAAATAACCCTAATTTAAGTATAGGTGTGTCAAACAGGAGTTGGCCAATTCCATAAGCTATCTGCAAAGTAAAATTAATAAAAACACAAAATTATAATTTTCCACATGGAAACTTAGAAGCTTGTCTATAAGTACAGAATAATTAAGAGTAGATATTAGTATTAGAAAAATCAACAAGCTATATACATATATAGTGTAGCCCAAAAGTAGGTATACAGTCGATGATTAATACTGTATTTAAAGTAATTAAATTAAAATTAAAGTATACATTTGACAATTGATAATATATTTAACGCTGGTTTACACACGACATGGAAATTAGAATTATGGGAAAGTTCATCCCGCAGGTGTTCAAATTGAAACCCGTCGCTATTTACACAATCCTGGAGTCTGCCTGCTACACTTCTGCAAATTTTCTGACACAAGTCTATCTGTCTATCAAGTTCTGTAAATGCGTCTGTTGCGTACCTTTCATTTCATGAACATTCTGCGATTTCCTACTGTACACTTTGTCCTTGAGTACTCCGCAGAAGAAAAAGTCCATATGCAACTGCATACCTGCCTGTTTTTGGGCCATTCTGTATATTGTACATTTAATCTTAATATATCATTAACTCACTGTCTGCTGATTCGCTGTATACAGTATGCGCATCGCAAAAATTCCGTGCGCTTTTAAAACAGCCGCAGTCAAAGGGTTAAAGTCACAAGTAAATAATCTAGTTCACTCATCACAACTCTGTCACGTGATTACATATTTTTAAGGCCAGTTCTTAACAGACAAAGATCTTTTTTGTTAGACACAAAACAGTAATTTCTAAAATAAAATAAAAAGACTTAGCTATGCTTCTTCCTCACATCGGTTTATTCAGCATTTTAGATGTGTTGAGACTGTATTTTGTTGTTTTATTTAAGTACGCGTTAGAAGCGCACCGAAGAAATTTCAAAGGCTAGACTTTGATCTAACCACTGGTTCTACTTCTAGTTATTTATACAAAATAATCCCAAACTGAATAACCCATGACAACAGCTGAATACTTACGAAATTTATTGAGGTATAGATATTATTATTAGCATACACCATAGCTACAGGAGGCTCGAGATCGAATAAACAGTTAAAAATGTTTCTTCTGCAAGCTTATTCATTTATTGGTATTTTAGTTACACTTCGTATTTGGTTAGGTGGGAAGTTTTACCTGTTAACTAATCACGTGAACTTCACGGAGCAAAAGTGCTACAGTAATGATAACGGTTTAATATTTTATGTGCTTAGTGATCTGCAGAGTTGTAGAATTTACAACTACTTGATAAATCTGTGATAACCCCGTAAAAATCCGCTCCAACCCCCCCCCCTCACCCCCAATGCAAATACGCGTACACATATGAATATTTTCAGCCATGTTTAAATTTGAAAGTATTAAAAATAATTTACTACTGCGATACTCACCAAAGGCATCATTAAATACTGACAGCTAAATCCCACTGCTGGAGCAACAGGTCTCTTTAAAACTCCTTTTATGACTCTCAGGTCCAACGCACAGCCCATATTAATGTAACTTAGTGAAACAAGAATTGCTACAGATGCTATGAACACAGTATTCAACTTATTTTCCTTTCGAACAACGCTTATTTGTAACGGATTCGATTTCTCATCCTCGCTATCATACTTAGGAAGTGCCTTAACTTGAACATCTGTATATCCTAGAAATCTGCCTTCCAACGTAAAAGTTCCGTTGAAAGTTTCTCCATTGGTTTGGCGACTTTCAAGTTCAGTCACGTTAAAAATCTTACTTGTCACAATAGTAGCGATACTAGGATCGGCCACTAATAGCTCGTAGTAGTCGTGCTTTGCTGGCTTTAAATCAGTGATTGAAAAGCTTACATTTTTCTTTTCGCCTACTTTCAGTTTGCTAACATAACCTGGAACGAAAGATACAGAAATGGTGGCTGCTAATTCTACGAAGAGCAGTAAGAAGCTAGAGATCATCGCAAGTAGTACGACTGGACACATAACGAACTTCGGCTACGTAAATCAGACAATGTTGATTCAGGAACGTCACTTATAGAATTGGCAAAATAATGACTTAACATTAACCATAAAAAATACAGGGAATGGTGTTGAGCGTTTAAGACACAATTTATAAAATCATATAAAACGGCCTAATGTCGTATTTTCAAATCTCTCCAACAACCTCGAAATTCAACCGCCACTGACTGTAGAAAATTGAGAAACGACTCAAACGAGTTGTTCGCTCTCAAGCTGTGACGTTTCGATGACGAAAGAGCTCCGCCTACTACTTCTGCTTCTGCAGCTGACTTTCATTCAAACTTTCAAAAAAAAATATAATAATAAGCAAAAATGTACTCGCGTTATTAGTAATTCAAGTCGGAAAAATTTACATTCATTATTTGTCTGTCCAAACGGTCTTTCAATGGGTCAGCGGTACGTTTACGGACTTATAGCAACAAAATCCGGGGTTTGGCTCCCTGCAATTGATAAAGTGCAGATAGCCCATTAGTTGACTTTGCGCTAAAATAAACAAACTCTGTTCAAGCGGCAGCAGTAGGAACTTAAGATACTGATATTGAATGCTGAGATTTTTACAAAGGTATTTTGTATTGTTGTGGATATACCTTTAATTAGGACAAAACATTCTTCAAATTATACCGTTTTCCGCTTCTTCTTTTTTCCTTTTACTCAAAATTAAAAGTGCACGTGCTGGTGACGTAATCAGCAGATGAAACACATACTTGAATGTTATGGCGTTCTATTCATAACTTGGTTATGTACGAGAGTACTGGAAAAGAAAAAGAGCTGCTTATATAGAAAGTTTAGCGCAAAGCTAACTGTGCTCTTTTCACCGCGGGGGATCAAACCATGGTTTTTAGCGTTGTAATTACAGATACTTTCAGCTAATCGAAACGGGGGCATGATATACATAAAAAATTACAAAAATGTATTTTAATTTGGTTTATATATTTTTTTTTACATTTAAAGTATTTTTATGTGACTAATACTAAAACGTGTGAAGTACAAATTACGGTATTTTTTGGAATATAAGACGCACCGGTGTGTAAGACGCGCCCTTATTTTGAAGACAAAGTTTTTGGGGGAATAAAGCTACAGTCGCATCTGAAAGATTTTTATTGAACAAAAATTCAGTTTGATACTGTTGCG